ATAGATACCCTACCAGCCAAATTACTTCGAAAATGTTCAATAAACAATTGTTAGAGGAGTACAGAAACTTCCACGTATGCCAAAATGTGTAGTAGTATAAATATGATAGAATCTTCACATTACTGTTAAAAATATTCATAGAAAATTTACCCAATGCAACAGGTAAAGCTACCTAAGTATAAGATATTGACTTTTACTCGGGTATTTACCCAGTCTGTTCTGGGTGCCTTCAACATTACCACTAGAGTATAGTACTTTAGTTCTTTTGAGTCAACCGTTCAGTTGTAGTTCGTTCACTTAGTGAACTAGTTCTTAGTTATATTGGTCATTTAGTTCAGTTGACGAATACATTTACATATCGAAAATTAAGTGGAAGACCGGCCTATCTCGACAGCCAGTTCGAAAATGCCCACTCTCAGAAAACTTTTTAAGGCCGCCCTATGTCAGAATTTGGTTGAAGAACGCTCTATTTTCGAATGAAAAACGCCCTATATCCGAGTTATTTCCAAGGACACCCTATTTCAGAATTCGATTCAAAAACGCCCTATCTCAGCTGCCGATTCAAGAACGCCCTATCTCAAAATATTTTCAGTTGAGTTACGGCGTTTTTAAACCAAATTCCGATATATGGTGTTTTTCAAACAAATTTTAAAATAGGGCGTTCTGCGGCCAAATTCTGAAATAGGGCGTTCTTGAAAAGTTTTCTGAGATAGCGCGTTTTCGAACTAGTTGCCGAGATACATACATAGGTCGTTCTTCCACTCAGGTGTCGATATGTTATTTTAAACATATTTTTACTATCATAACGTTCGTGCCAAGAATATTTGGATCGCGATCCAAAATGATATAAATAGCACTGACAAATTGAGTTCAATGAAACTACCAAACTAGTGAACTAGTTCTTTAGTTCATTTTGTTCAAGAACTACCCAAGCCTAGTTACCACAAATAAAGAGTAAGTTATCCGCTGTAAGATGTAAAGCTAGCATTTTAAATAATTTTTATTGAAATAGAAATTGATTCTCTGTTCGCTATGTGCGCAATGTGATCCCACAGGCTCTCTTTTTGCTCTTTAATTAAAAACGCAAAAAGGTGTACAATGCCTATCTAGAGACTATCACCTAATAGCTCGGTAAAATAGCCAACCAGGAAACAAAATTCTTGTTAAGCTCAACATTTATTGACCTATATGCAAAAATAAGGTGTCACTTCAAAAGTAATAAATTAGACCTTCCCTCTGTCTGGCTATATTAAGCATTCCCAAACCCACTATACATAATGAGAAGTATTTAAACCAAACTATATTCTGTAAAAATACTGAAAAAATATAATTATTTAATTAAATTTTTTCCTGCGTGGAATTTCAAAAGTTTAGAAGCTATGCATCATTGAAAGCCACAAATGTAAATCAATAACTTAAGGGAAATTAAAATATAAATTTTTATCATATTTTTATTCTCACGTGCCACCATATTCGAGCGTTCCGTAGATTCTTTCCATGAGGCGCCTACAGAATTTAGCTAGATTGCTGCATGCCCTCGTGGATCGTATCTCTGTTAACGAACAGAGTAATTTATCTTACAAGCAAACCTACACTCCCTGGGCATGAAAGTGGTGGCTTATACCGACGACGTGGCCATAGTTTTAACTGGTCAATTTCTTTCGATTATAAGCGAAGTTATGGATGATGCTCTGTTGAAAGTAGATTCTTGGATGATAAACTGTTCGCCTGATATGAATCCCCAGAAAAAATAAAATAAAATAAAAATAAAATTCTACAAGGATATCTTAGATTAGTTCTGGATCCAAAAAAAAATTTCCCGGTTTTGCGGTACACAAATCTGGCAGCTATTTGAGACTGAATTTTTTCATTATTCGGTTATTGCAAAAACCTCAATCAACGCAACTTTTTCAGGAAATTTTAATCTTGATTTTTCAAATAACGAATACATACATATTTTCACGGAGAAAAGTTATCTCGCAGCGAATTCCTAAACATTTTGCAAAACTCAGGAATATTCACTAAATCTTCATATAAATTGTCAACTATTTAGCAAACACCTTCAATAAAAAATTCTGAAAAATCAACGAAACATTTTAATAATTTAAAAATTACATTTTTAAACTAAAACTTAAAATTTTGCATACAAATTTATTGAGGTTTCTGAGTTTTGCACAAAATATTTTTTTGTGTGTTTCTTATAGTACGAACCATATTTTTATAAAAAAATTGCGAAAAAAAAAATTTTAATAAAAAGTGTTGCAAAAATATTTAAAAATTCTCTGTGTCAATACTTTTGAAATACTTGTATCTAAAAACTTGAAAATTGCCCACTAACTTAAAAAAGCAATTTTGGTCACGATTTTAGACTATATAGTAAATATCATCACAAATATAGTACCCGAAAAGATAATATTATCATCCCATATTAATAAGTTTCGTCGATTTTTTTCGCATTAATTTAATAATTATTTTAAAAAAGTATAGTTTATTCGTTCACAAAAACCGTAAACTTCCAAGTTTTGCATTTAGGGCATTATGAAAAGATATCAACCAACGTTTACAAAAATTTTAAGCATTTTCATTAAATTTCTTGGAAAGGTTTTGAGTATGCACTTTTGTAGCTCATTCAGTTTGAACTCTAAGAATATTTTTGAGGTGTTGGAAAAAGGTCGCCACCTGTTTAAAAAGTTAAATAAATTCCAAATATTTAATAAGTTAAATGAATTATTAAAATATGGATATTAATCGAAGGGGGTTTGAAAAATTTTTATTTTTGAACTGTACTTAGCGGGGTTTCCACATGTTTGAAAATTAAAATTCCACTTAACTCATCAATTAATTAAAATACGTATCCGAGTGTCCGGCGAAGGAGAGTTAACAATGATTAAGCTTAAAAGTACTTTTGAAGAGGGCTACCACCTGTTTGAAAAGTCTAACTTAAGTAACTAATTCAAAAAGTATATGAAATATTAGATACCGCACTCAAACGAAATAATGTTAAAAAATCTTTTCTTTGAACATTTCGAACGTTTCAAGAGAGTTGCCACGTGTTTGAAAAAGTTAAGTTGAAATTATTCAGTAAGTCAAATGAATTATTAAAAGATGGGTATAAATCGAAATGGATTTGAAAGGAATTTATTCCTGACCTTTATTTAGGCGGGTTGCCATATGTTCAAACAATCAAATTTGAATCTTCACTCAGAAATGGCCGCACGGTTTTGATGAAATATGGCACTCGGATCTCTTATAACTCTGACTAACATTTCGAATATTTTTTTAAGGTGTTGAAATTCAATTTTCGGCGTTTTAACGCCATGTGGGTTCATTAGTAAAATTTATTTTTGTAAAAAAATATGAAAAGTAATTAAAAATAAAAAAATCATTATGACGTACACTATGTATAAAATAAGACGGGAATATGCGGGATTTTCCCAAAATTGCAATCGGATTTTTTTTTTTCATTTTTCTAATAGCTTGAAAATCAATTTTGGAAAAAGGCGAATAATCGAACTTAACAAAGAGCAACCTAATGTTTAGTTAGAAAAGCTTAAAATTTAAATTTCCGAAATAGCTATCACGTCAACAATTTTTTCAAATTATTGTTGCTTTTCCACAATAAGTTTTTCATTGAAAACGGCCTCAAGCACAATAAAAATTGTTTAATTAAAATTAAAACTATTGAAAAAGCTTTCAATTTGTATTTTCACTATGCCGCCTACAAATTTGCGGTTTTCATATCTTCCATTTAAATTTTAATTAAGTTAATAAATATCCTTCAATCTGCTAATTTTTTAATTCAACAAACTCTTTTAATGCTTCCGCTTACAAATGGCTTTCACTTCGGTTTATAATTACTTCACACTGAATATAAATATTTGAGGCTTTTTTACGCCCACAGAAAAAATAAACAGTAATTCTCTTTATACACACATACATACATACATAGATACATACTCGCACAATTCGTGAAACTTACATACATAAATATATGTATACAAATTTACGTAAATTGCACAATTCAATACACTCAAAGGCATATAACCATATCAATACGCACTTTAATGCTAATGGAATCCAATTCACTAATGTGTCTACAAATAAAAGGCATACGGTTTTAAAATGGGGCGTCGCTGTAGAATGTGTTAAAAAAGATATCGATAAGGATGCAAAGTTATTTTTAGGTTGTTGGGTACAAAAAAAATGTAAATAGGTACATTTTAAGAAATGTGAAGTTTGGCTCAGCATTTCTTATTTCTTTTGTTTAAGTAAGCTCAATCAAATACAAATATGCTGGACTATTCGTATCGGTGGGTAAAGGATAACTTAATATTTTGCTGCAGGCATATATTCCTCTACTTACCCAAAAGCCGTTGAAGTGTTAAATGTCCTGCGGCTGTGGTTAACACTCGAAACGTATCGTTTACTTATTGCACTCAATGCCGGGCTGTAATTGATGATATTGTCTGGGTCGTAAGGCAAATGGCTCAGTCGGCCATGTATGCTTAATTTGGTCGAATACTGTATACGTTTTTTTCTTCGATTTCTCCCACACAGTCTTACTACTCTGCTTTTGTTTTTCGGTTTTTCAGCTACGCTTGGCACTCATTAATTTTAGAATTTCACAGCTCTGGCATTGCTGGCAGATCAAGCGGAAAAGCCGAATGTAATATGGATGCGGCATGCTCAATCAACAACATTACACCTGCGGCATGCAAACGCACACATGCAAAAAACCGTTATACACGCACACACTTTTAAGCAGAGCAGCTGTTTTTTTACAAATTCAATTATGTATTTTATTATTATTTTTGCCGGATTTATTGCTACACTTGTGCCTTTTATGCGCTTATTGGCGTCTATTAAGCCATCTTGATGGCCAACACATTCACACAATCGCTGGTACACAGTTAGGCACAGTGAACGTACATCGTGGCGTATACTTGACGGCAACTGACCAAGCAACACTTTCACTTAGCACACGCCGTGGGTATGTATTTCACTCCCTTGCTGTATTTAGCTATGTACACTACAGTTGGTTATGTTATGCTGCCAATTTCATTCACAAAATTTCACGCTTATGTACTCTGCGTGTTCTTATTTATTTTCTTCTTCTTCCTCTTTTGCTACTTATGTATAATGCAATTTCGTCTCAATTTTACGAAAATTTGTGCCACTATACACGCAGCGCGCTTATCGCAATTTCGTCCTGTCGCTTCGATGTTTCTTACGCGACTCTGCTGTTCTGTACGACTTCACTGTGTCTTATATCCTCGTACGCCTGTCCATTTGTTTGTTGGAGTCCTTTCGTTTCTGATCGTTTCGGTTTGTTTTCCGCCTGCTACTTTTTGGCCCAAAACAACTGTACTGTGCGCGTGTTACAGCTGCTGCTGCTGTTACTGTTGTTGTAGCTGTTGCTGTTGCTGTTGCTGTTGCGTTCGTCGACATTTTCGTTTTCAAACTACAAATTTTGTGGGCGTTGTGGGTGGTTATGGCTGCGAAAGCTAGTACACACCGACTGCATACAACAGCAGTAATCAAAAAGACAGCCGACTGAATTTGTGTTTGCAGTTTGGCACGCAAGCCGATTTTCGTTGAATTGTTTATGCTGGAGCGCGCAGCAGTGCTGTGCTTGCAATTGTTGTGCCTTATTATTGTAACCGCTAGTCTTTTACATACCCATTTTCCTTCTTACTTTCCCAAGATAGTCAACAATGAGAGCATTCCTTTGCTCGTTAATGCCACTTGATACACTTCTTCCAGCATTTTCCTTCCTTTGCTTCCTTCCTCGCGCTTCCGGCCTTATTATACATAAATATCCTTGCTAAACTATTTTTGTATTTGAGTTGTTTATGCAAATGCAGTTGTTGTTGTTGCTAGAGACTCGATTTTATTGCATTTGATTCTATGTCTTCGCCTATCTGCTGCCATAAAATCGTACTGCGTGTAACTACTTTCAGCACTTTTGCCAGTTTTGCATTACCAACTTTCGTAATCCAGGAATTTGCTCGCTGTAATTGTTTATTCACGTATATCTTGCGTGAATGGCTAATGGAAAAAAGCATCGCTCAATTATAGTACTCTTAACTTGAGAATCAAACTATCCATGAACTGTTTCATTGTATGGACAGCAAAGTCAAAATACATACATATGTACGTACACACATACAGTGAAGTGAAAAACTGAGTTCATGGTGATTTTTGTCAGAAAAAAAATATTAAAAAAAAGCACTTTACTATACCAGAATTGAACAGGTTATAAAACCGCATAACCAAAAAAATTCAGATTAATAAAGTTCAAAATTTTTATGAAAATTTATGGAATATTCTAGGTTCTGTATACAAATTTTAAATCTGATTTATATGGTTTTACTTAAAATGTGAACGACATTAAAAAAAATAAAAATAACGAAAAATTTGAATTTTTAAATACCTTGCAAATATTTAATGAAAAATCGTCATGGACTCAGTTTTGCACTTTACTGCATATAGGTTAAAATAGTTTTATGTCAACTAAACAAAAGAATGGCGGACAACGCAGTTATTGGCAAAACACTTTTATTCAAGCAAAACTGAAAAAGTATTTTCGGTTTTTTTACTTTAACTATGTTTGTCACATTAACAAATTCTATGGTTAAACTGCCATTGCTTCCCAGAGGTCTTAAGCAACCGAAAAACAAACGGCTTATGAAAGAAAATTTTTGTGATTTAAAAGAGTGGTTTCTCTGCTTTAATAGGAGTATTTTTTTTATTTTAAATAACTTTCGGTGTGCAATATAATGATTTATATGGAAGGACCTCGAGAAAATTTCTCAAATTCAAACATCTTTTGGAAATAAATCAACACGTTTATAAGAACTTTTTAATGGAAACCTACGTACGTAAATCATTGTTCGCTTTAAGATATATGTATATGCAATTCAGATATATCGTTCAGGCCAAAAAACCCTGAAAATTGAAAAAACGCGATTTTCCAAACCGTTTGCGCCGTTCTCTGAAACGTGGCCGCTTTTGGATATCCTTTTTTTTTTTTTGAAAACATATAAAAACCAGGTTTTAAAAGGCGCATGTCCCAAGCAAAGGTAACAAACACTGCGGGTAATATGGAGAAAAATAAAAATTTTTCATACAAAAAAAAATTGTGGTTAAAGGGCACTTTCGGAACAACTTGCCGACTTCTCAAATTATTCAGGGTATTAAATAACTTTAAAAAACCTCTTGTCCCAAAAAACTTACTAGGGATAGTTTTGGGTACTGCTATAAAATGCATATAGTACGTTAACGTCCATTGCCTCTTATATGAACATTCTATTGAAAAACTTCCCAAGGTTATTAAAACAAAAAAAAAACAATTATGATTTTTACGAGTGACAATGAAAAAATTAGTAAATTCGTTCTTTCTTCTGCCGAGAGAAGGATGTGACACTAAAAAAAAACTCGTGAGATTTACTCATATAATAGGCGGCATACACGGTGCGTCTGACTCGCGAGTCGGTTTGGATGTGCTTGTGAAAATAAATATGTGTTAGTTACACCGACATGACTCCTGGCATGGCTTTAAATTATACAACTGTGTGTAGTCGAAGGCGCGTCAACACGTACACAAATGATTCGCGAGTCAGACGCATCGTGTATGCCGCCTATAAAGGTTATTTTTTATTCAGGAACTAAAGAAATGTAAAAGAATATGTTATACCCGTATACATGCATACATGCATATATATGTAATTGCTCATAAATATCGTGTCAGACAGCACTTTCAGCAAGTTATCTAATATCAGCGGGTCAGCAGCACTCAACCTTGTCCATTGAGGCGAGAAGTGGCCGCTAAGAAGTAGTTTCATTGTGCTTTTGCGTTTTTTAATGAAACATTTTTGGAAAACTTGTTGTAAGTTTCAGTGACTTGCACATAAATATTATACTTACATACTTGAAAACCACTCAGTTCTACAGTTACATGCAGATGCAAATCTGCACATTTTAATGAATGAATTTCAAGACAATTCCTTTGAAAGCTTTAACAAGTTTCACTATACCAAAAAGTGAAAATAACCACATACATAGTACATGGAGATACATACATATGCATATACCTAATTAAGGAGTATTTTCGTCATCTTTCTACTGTCTCGCCCTTAAGGAGCACGTTAAGGGTTGACACCTTTGCCGAGGTTATAACCACCCAATTATCTGTTGGCCTGGCGAAGTCCGATTATGTTTTACCATTTTTATGCTCTCATTTTTATTACCTCCTTGCTGAGCCTTCGCTGATCATTTTGTTGTTTGATAGATTCATCCGCTCCCTCATTGCGCTCCACTACCCTTTAGCCTGGTAACCAAGGTCGCAGAATGCTATTGAATACAGCAAGGACATTTAGATTCTCAATGCACTCAAAAACTAGAGATGATTTGACTTCAAAGGAGCGAAATGCCTTGAATGATGCCTGACTGTGGCCAAGGATTAAGACTCTGTCATTATGGGCGTTTCTACTTAAATTAATCTCTGTACACAGATTGATTGCGATGACCTCCACAAGGCCTTCGGAGGTTTTAGAGCCACTGCTCTGCTCCTGCTCTGAAAGTATTTAACGCGGGTCACGATGCTGGTAACAGAGGAAGAGGAGGCCTCCTCTGCGTTGGAAGATGCACTTGTCTTCACTTGGCATTGCCAATTGGCGTCAGTTGGTACAGAAGAGAAATGACGGACGTGCTGTTTTGGATTCGGCCAAAATCGCGTAGATAGCTACAGCGCCAATAAAGAAGAGGAGAAGCTTTGCTGCATAGCTCTATTTTGAGTTTCTTTTCGAAAGCGACTGCTCTGCTCCTCTGCAAAATGCTAAGGGGAACGCTCGACTGCTTGTTCTATCGAAATATGATGTGGCTCTAGGTCATGTTCAATTTTTCGATCTTTTTTTTTATGGTTTATGAACAACTGTTATATTTAAAAATAATTTATTTATCCGTACTACTGCTTGGTTCAATTGCCCTCTAAAACACTTTCCATCTGAAGATTTTAATAATACAGTTTATTTTTTGAGAAGAGTTGCCACTTTTTAAAAATTCCAAATCTGATTACTTAATAATCTAAATCAATTATTACAATATGGATAGCAATCGAAAAGTGTTTGAAAAGGCTTTATTTTTTAACTACATGTGGGAGGATTGCCACTTTTAAAAAAAAATTAAATTCAATTTAAATAAGATAAACGAGATATATGCCACAATTTGGATGTCAGAGGACAGAGGTTTAATTAAAAAGGTTTGAAAATATTTTAAAAACGGTTGCCACCTGTTCTAAAAGTCAAATTTTATTACATAATGCGTAAATTATATGAAACATTAAAATATGGGTGTCAAACTAAAGAGTTCTGAGAAATATTCAATTTAAAAATTTACATAAAAATATTTTCGAGGTGTCTGAAAGTGTTACCAGCGGTTTAAAACCTTTTCCGAACATCCTTAAGTAAATTACTTTCTCATACTTGGGAGACGCTTTCCAAAATAAAATATTACAATTATTTTCTGATTGCACTTTATATTTACAGTCATCTCTTACCATTTTATACTCAAACATATGTACATATGTATGTATGTATGTATGTATGTACTTGTGGATGTATCTAGGCACTAGCAAAAAACACATCGCAATTGCCAATCGTTCTTTCTAAATGCATTTTACGAAATGCATACATAAACATTAAATCGTGAGTGGTTGTTGATTGGAAGCACGTTTTCACCAAAATAAATAAAAAAATCATGTTTTGGAGTAGAAACATTCGCTGTGGTC